ACCAAGGGTCGGCGCTACCGGACCAACCCGGCAGCACTCCAGCTGCTCTGCTGCAGGCGTCCCGATTCAGCCACTGCTGAAACTGACCAGGAGCAGCTGAATCAGGGACTCCTGGGGCAGAGCCGGACTATCAGAAGGGAGGGTTATGAGGGGGTCTGGGGTAGCATTCCCCCCACCCCACCCCAGACCCATCATAGCCCCCCCCTTCTGATAGTCCGGCATAACTGATAATCCGGCACCTCCTGGTTCCTAAACTTGCCGGATTATCGGAAGTTTACTGTATTGTGATATTAGACCATAGACTGAATATATAATAAAATTCTCATTGTAAAGGAACAGAATTAAGTTTGTATACAGTTAAGCATTCTGTTAGTTGACTGACATTTTTTTCTTTGAGACGAGCTGTACAACACTTTCTAATACTGTATTAAGGTTCTGCTTAGTCTTTGCTGTCCAACAGTGATCAACTTTTCTCTGCAATTATTGTGTATACCTAATGATTTTTCTCTTACTTTGCCTTACATATAAGGTATATTTAGAAATTTACGAAAATCATATTTTCTGATTACTTCATAGGACAAGATTTGTGTAAATTTCAGTATCATGCAGCTTCGCAACAATAGATCAAACAGACATAATGGGTTGCAAAGGGAACATTCCCAATATGATTGTTTCCATAATAAGTAAGAACAGCAGCTGCTGTGAATATAAATCTTTGAATTTTAGAAAGATGTAGTTGGTTTATTCTTCCAGAGAAACTCTACATCATTACAAAATGCTATATTGTTTCTCATTGATGGGATTCTTCAGATTTTAACAATAACCTTCCAAGTTATCTGTTATAAGTTCCAAATGATAATTTTTTAGTGATTTCTGAAGAAGTATACCGTTGGTTTATAAGTACATTTTCCAGGCACCTTGTCAATATTTTACATGATTTCCCACTAGGAGTGTAAAATCTAGATTTATCAGTTAACTGGTTAAATATTTTCACTGTATTTAAAAAAAAAAAAAATAAACAACCTTAATTCAGTTAAGGACCTGAAGAACACCATGTAAATCTTCTAGTATTTTATATATTGGGTAATCCAGTATTTCAATATTGCCACTATTTTTGGCAAAAGTGAATACTGAAGAGCCCTAGGAAAAATGGAGTACATATAATATAGATATTTAAAAACAAAGTGTATTTAAAGATTCTTCTGCTTCTTGCACTAAGGCACGTTGCTATGAAAATTCCATTGTAATGGATCTGTGGACCTGAGCACAAGAAAGAATAGAAAAAACTTTGCTTTTTTTCCCTAAGTGATAAGGTCTACAGGTGCCCTGCCCTTTTAGACGCATTGGATCATCCAGAGTAGAGATGGAAACTGACATCCAGTACTTGGGATTGTTCTCGTTTGGGGAATTTCCTCAATAGGAGAAAGTGTTGTTGTCTTTTCCTCAACGTATTTTTAATACAGTCCATAATTTAGGAAAGTTGACTTTATTCTTATGGTGAAAGTTGCTGCAACTAGGATGAACTTCAGGGGACAGGCTGTTATGTACCATTTACAATGTAAGCCCTCATCTTACCACACAGGCTATTTCCCTATTGTTAGTGACCAACTGATCTGATTCTAACCCTCTAATTACAAGCAGATTGAACAGATATGTTGACTTAAATTTTCTTTTAAATTTCTCCCTGACCGCACAAGTTCCGTGTTTCTGAATGTAAATGTGACTGATAAATCCGCTCACCATCTGACTGAGAATGAACTTTTTTTAGTGTGTGTGTAAACACTCTTGGTTTTGGAGCTGAAGGGCCCAGGGTTCTAGTCCATTACAATATGGCATAGAAAATAGGGATGCGGACTTATACACAGCTAACCAATGAGCCTAAGTTCATCGGTTGATATTTATGGTTACACATAACTCCTCACCCCAACGTTGCTGTCTCTGCTGGGGAGAGGGACCAGGTGGTTCTGCAAGAGCTGCCTCCCCTGTATGTAAACGTGTTTATTTAAATAAATACATTTTAACATCCCTAATAGATGATAGGATCACTTGAAGAGTTGGCCTGCTTCATCTTCTCCATACTTTCTGTTCCAGAATAACTTCCACTTGTTGACAATTTAGTCTGGAGTAAAAGTGACTTCATTCCAAAATAACATCCACACAAGGGAAGTTATTCTACAGTAATGTCTGGCATAGCTATTCCATTTTCCTCCATTTAGATGAGACCTTAATTGTTGTATTTGTAGTATCAATTTTAATCAGTTCTGTATTTTAAATTTTAATAGAAAAGTTCCTTGCATATTAAGACTTTTAATGCATTCTCTTACTAGCTTAGGATCTGATCAACTCAAGTACTTGTATTTGTTTGGAAAGTTTTTTCTGTTCATCTCAAAAAGAAATGAAGGTTTATCTTTAATAGTTTCAAGGCTCAGTTTCCTGCCACTCCCCCTATCCCAAACACAAAGGTGAAATGTTTCTTAGAGAAGCAGCAATTAGAAGTAGTTTTCATATTGAATTTATAACTCTCACTTATGTATGAAAATTTAATTACTCTTGTTTTGTGTGTTAACTTGAAACTTCTCTTTTAGTTTACGATGGTATCAACATCCAACTGAAGAAGAATTACGAATTCTTGCAGGGAAACAACAAAAGGGGAAAAGCAAAAAAGATAGGTAAATGTTTTATTTAATAATCTTATGCACTTTAACATACTGTGTGCAGTGACTTATTTGTAATCTGATTTTGCTGAGACATCCTTTTCAATGCCATAGTATAATTATGTAACATAATAAGTAGGTCATTGCTTAAGTGCAAGTTGTGTTGTCATTCTATTTTTAATTTACTTTAAATTAATTTTTAATAAACTTTGAAAGTGTTTGGTTCAGTCTTCAAAAAATGGCCCAGATTTGAATTTTTAAAAAAGGAATTGCATCAGCATAGCCATTCATCATAGTATCTCAAATTCATGTTGCATTCTAGCATCCTGTTTACTTTGGTTGCTGCAAATGTACATTGAATTGGGAGATTGATATATTCTCTTGTAACTCAAAGGACATTCATAAAGTTTTGTTACCAGACAAATGATCTTATATTCATTCACAAACTACATTTGTGTTCTATTCACTGGATGTGAAAAGTCTCTATTATTGCTTAGCTTTACCTTCCAACTTCTGTTGATGTTCAACTTGAAAATCTGTAGTTCATGCAAATTTGAAAATAAAGATTAACAATTTATGCAGTATATTCTTAATTTGTACAGCTTTAATATTTAAACTTCTGTCATCATTAAGCCGTTATCTCATTTCTGGACTTTGTTATAATAAATTAAAGCAAAAATAACAAATTAACATATAAATAATATATCAAGATTGATATGTATTCATGTGAATATTTATCAATCATTGATACTTAATAGCAATCTGAATAGTTGCTACACCAAAACATTCAAGATTTGAGTCAACATGGCTGAACTGCATATCTCACTAATACAAGCCATAAAAAGCAAGGAAAGAAGCAGCTAAGTCACTCAGGACCCATCTACTGTCCAATCAGTAGCCTCTCAACTTGAACTTCCATCTACCATCTGTAGCCTGCATATTTACACTGTCCTTCAGAAGTAGTCATGAACCTTCAGCTCTGATAGGGAATATAATAATCAGTATGTGCATACATACATGCTCCAGTTCATGGATGGGTTTGTAGTAAAGATCAGCAAATACTAACAAAACACCATAGTTAGTTGAAAAGATTGTTCAGTTCATTTATGCAATAAATTTTCCTTGTCACATTGCCATTCCCTCTTGTTCCTACATTGGAGGTTCTTAACCAAATGCAGCAGAAACAAACAAAGGGCTGTCCAAATGCACTTTGCTGATGAGGACCTACTGGCCATGAACATTGTTTTGTTACACCTGGCAAACTGTAAAAAATTCCTCTTGCACCCTATTTCTCCAAACTTTCTCCCAGATTTTAAGTGTAATTTCTGTCGTTTCCCTTACAATAAAAAAGAGACATGAATGAATACACTGTACTTGCACTTCTGTAAGGTCTAGCTCCAAATTTTATAGATCATGATCACCACAGAGTAAGAACTGAGGCCTTCAGGTCATGCCATCGCAAGAGCATTTTGTTTTTTAAAGAGAGACCGTAGTTTGGCTAACAGCTACAAAACACCATAAGAACATCAAAGCAAAATAATTTGGAAATTCTAAAATAATAGGTTTCTTTAAAAAAACAATATCAGAGTGAAGCAAACATGATGTAAGTGAATGCGTTATAAAAAGTTACAAGCACCAAAGACATGTTTAAAGAGTCTGATAAAAAGGGAAGCTGTTCCCTGTGCAATATATTACAAAATTCCATTGAATTCAACAGATTTCACTTGAATAGAAAAATAGTGCCTTCAAAAATATTTCCTATTCATGTCCCTTCAATTATTCTTATGCTCTTTTAAGTTTCTCAAGGGGAAAGAACCAGTAAGGTCTATATTCAAGAATTTTAGTATAAAATAATCTATTCAAAACCAGAAGAATTCAATGATTATAAGTATTGCCACAATCTCTAGAGCATCAGATACAAAAATGTAACACCAGATAAGTTTGTCCTAGATCCTATCTTCCTATATTTACCTTACTATATTTGAATGTGTAGTTAATACATTTTGCAAGATTCTGGAGTTCTGTGAAGCAGATTCCTTTTCCTCTAGAGACATTGGAGAAGCCCAACAGGTTTAGCTTCCTTTTAGTTTGTCACCACCAGTTCCCCATTTCATTTACTCAAATAAGGCAGTGCAACCCTGGAACAGTCTAGCAATCACATTCAAAAAATTAATTGGCCCTACATTTATATACTTAAATACGGGGGAGGGGGCAAGGTTTCAGTGTGTGTTTGGTTGTTCTTAAAGTAAAAAAGGAATTATAGTATCTCTGCAGAAATGATTGGTATATTCATTAGATATTCCATGTCAAAGACTTAACTTTAAATTAAAGGTTACTAAATCACATATCACACCAACCTAAGCCATAAAAAAGCCATTGGTGCTGGTGTTCCAGCCTCGCTGGGAGGAGTAAGCATGGAGCTGTAGCACCAGCACAGTCTCCCTGCTGTGTGTGGGGAAGCCCCAAACCTGTGGCCCACCTACAAGATGGTTGCTAGTGTTCCGCGGACCACACTTTGAGAACCACTGTCTTTTATAACTTAAAGCAAGGTAATGTACATCTCATTTTCCTGGCGCAAGCCTGTAATGAGCTTGCTTCTCATGTAATCATACTGAAAAGAGATGGAATCATCAGGCAGGTGAAAGGGGCTGACTGGGGGCATATCCCCCTCACCAGGGCTGCCCCAGCCCCAAGACTCCCATCCGCCAGGTGCCCTTTGGGGGGGCCTGAAGTTTCCCCTCCCACCATTTAATACAAGAACATTGCTGGCTGTTCCTTTCATTAGGGAGTGAGGAGAAAGTGCAGTTTGCTGCATTCCTTATCCCTACTGGAAAGCGGAGGGGGTTGACAAACCTGGATCCGCCTGTAGCCTCCGCTGTGCTTGCTGGAGCTGTAGGAACATTGGCAAGGTGGTTCTCACCTGGCCCCAAACTGCTGTGCTGAGAGAGAGTTGGGGTTGTGCTTTCTCCCTAGGGCTGCCTGCATACCAAAACCCTAGCCCCATCCTAGAGAAATGATTCAAATAAAGCATTTACATTTTATTCCCCCCCCCCCCAAAAAAAAGCGTTAACGTCCATAGCAATGTTGGGTAAATTTTCTTGTATAAAATAAGAAAATGACACTCGGTGGCAACTCTAGATTTCTCTTACTGCAGTTTTCTGTATTGTAGACCTGAGTGATAGATTCTAAACCTAGTTAACTAACTAAACAAGCCCTATGGATTAGTTATGCAAAACGTTTTTTTCCCTAGCGATATCCGCCATAGCAAACAGCTTTGGATTTACTTATCAAATCACACTTATATTAAAGGCATAGGGAGAGTCTTGAAGAATGATGCATTGCAAAGTGAATTATTTAAGTTACTAACCAGTTGATCCACTCCTCCATATCCACATCTTCATCCACATAATTTTCTTCCAATAAGCAGCTTTCTTTATGATATTTCATTCCTGTAACTAGGCTCTGCATCTTCTTCCTGCATTGCTTATTCTTGGCACATTATCCTTTTTTATCCACAGACAGAATTTCTTCAGAATATTCTCAGATCAGGTCCTTTCTTACACGCAGAAGCCATGACAGTTTTTCTGTAGCAAAAGTATGGGGACTATAGGAAACTATGTGTGTGCTGAATAATATCTTCCTTTTTTTCTTCTAGTCTACTCCACTGCTCCTTTCTGAGCTCCCATTCCTATATATTGTCTTTCTGTCTTAACTAACTCCTCCACTGTGCTTGGCCAATGTCAACCACCATATAAGCACAGAACAAAAAAAAACAACTTTATCCATCTTGTGTCTTTCTTTGCACATGTTACTTTTTAATCTACTAAGAAACAGAAATTGAAAGCCCAAAACTTTCAAGAAGCAAGAGCTAGTAGTTAGGCTGACCAGACTAGAGCCATTAATTCATTGTTGTGAGACTTCAAGTATATATGGAGCATTTTTATGATGAGATTTAATCATAGCTTATTTTTAAATGAGAAATTAGTATTATTACTTAAAAAAAAAATCTGGTTTAAATAAAAATCCTGGGTGGTTTTTTTGTTACTAAAAAAAATGATTTTTATCTCTAGTAAAAAAGATTTTCTAGAACCCTAGTATGCACACTCAGCCAGGTATCTAAAAGTCTAGCCTGTGCATACAGTTTGTACAGGGGACACATTCTCATTTGCTGGGCTCGCCGAACTGCGGCGAGCCCCACTCACCAGCAATGCTGCACATGGACAGATTGTTCTGCGCATGCGCAGATCGCCTGAACCCAGCTCTTCCGGGTTGCAATCTACTTGCCATGGGCAAGTAGATTGCATTATTTGTCGAGCCCTGCTCATTTGCACCAGTTTCGTGGAGAGGCAGAATTTTGAATGAGGGCAATACTTGGAGAAGGTTGGCCCTGCAGTTGCAACTTAGTTAATCTTGATGCTTGATGTACAAGTCAGGAAAGAATATGACACTTATATAGACTATGCTGTGTCTGCAGTTATGAGGATAATAAACAGAGTAAGGTTTTGCTAAAATAAGCAGGTATGACAGTTTTTGTTAGTCTCTAAGGACCATTTGTTGTTTAAGTTTTTTGTTGTACTATGAGTGTGTTGGGGAAGAAAATAAAACCCACAGCAGCGAGTCTCAGAGCCTGAGTCTATAGACTCAAGCTTTTGTTATGGTGCTAAAAATAGCAGTACAGGTTGCATCTCTATAAACCAGAACTCTCTTGTCCACCAACATCCAGGATCAGAGAGTCCCGGTGCACTGCGAGGGTTGGGGTGGTCATGGAGCCCTGCACTATGGAGAGGTGAGGGGATACGACTCAACTGGGTTGGGGGGGAGATGCAGGTGCACATCTTGGCTGGGTTGGGGACACGCACACGGGAGCTGACTCTCAGCTGCGTTACAGGGGGAATCAGCCTAGTGGGGGGAGAGGGACAGGATGGGAGGGGGCAGCAGCAAGTGGGACCAGAGATGACCTCTCATCGTCTGAAAAAATCCTTCATCTGGGTCCAGTCAGATGCCAAGGGTGCCAGACCAGGGAGCTCCAACCTGTATGGACATTCTGACTCAGGCTCTGAGGCCCAGCTTGCTTCCTGGATATCAAGGCCTAAGATCCATCTTGGGTGGGAATGTCTACACTCCTTTTTTTAGCACTGCAGGCCAAGCTCCACAAGCCTGAGTCCATATTCCTAGATTCAGATATGCTGCTGCAATTTATTTTACCGTATAGACTATGATGTGACAGTATAACCATGCATACGGTTAATTGATGAGCCTGAACTCGTCAGTTAACATTTACGGTTACACGTAGACTCCCGGTACATGCCAGGAGCCAGCTTTAAAATGGCTTCTGGAGCACACTGGCTCCTGGGGAGCCACCTGTCACCCCATGCTGCTGCCTTTGTAAAAATTCAAGTTACATGGATACTTAATTATACTCCTTTTAACTTAATTTTAATATAGACATACCATATTAGGCTTCAAGACTGCATAGAGTTCTAGACCCAGTAAGTGCTTGTATACATTTTATTCAGATATTAACAGAATGTTGAAAGCAAATGTTTCTCCTTTTTTTCCTCACTCAGAGCTTTTCTGTCCTGCTGATCCACATTTTCTTCCAATAACACTTGCTATATTCAAAGCTGGATAACTGATCATTAATTCTAGCAAATATTCTCAGCAGCTTACAAACTCCAGCTGATAGATGGTTTTCTTTCGGCATGACTTTAACACTGCTTTCTGTCCGTCTCTTGCTGAGATATCTAAGCCTCACCTTTGAAGTCTCAGATTGGCATTGTTTCATACTTTAGACTCGCATGTACAGTCAGAGTAGTATTTCAGACTTTGACATGGTAAACCTAATAAACATGTTCATCTAATTTATTATCTAGATGTATGTAGATGTAAACACAGATTGCATTTTTATATATAAAAAACTTCAAATAACAAAAAATGTTCATCATACAACAACTTTTAAAGAGCTTATTGTGGAAATCTAGGTAATGTTATAATAGTGGTTAGAGCAGTAGTCCCCAAACTTTTGGGGCTGCCAGGCGCCTGGGGGCGGGGCCGCTCACACGCCGGGCACCTGGGAGCGGGGCCACACATGTGCCCGGGGCGGGGCTGCACACGTCCCTGGGGGCAGGGCCACCCAAATGCTGCATGCCTGGAGCTGGTGTCACCCATGCGCCGCACTCCTGGGGCTGGCACCACAAGTGTGCTGCATGCCCGGGGGGGGGGGGGCCGCCCATACACCGTTCGTCCGGGGCCGGAACAGCCCATGTCCCGTGCTCCCAGGGGCAGGGCCACCACCATCCATGCGCTGTGTGCCTGGAGCTGGCGCCTGCGCCACGCGCCCAAGAGCTGGCAGCGCCCATGCGCTGCCGCCCAGTAGCGGGGCCACCCGTGCTGCGTGCCCGGGGCTGGCGCCACCCTTATGCCGTGCGCCCCGGTCGGAGCCGGCACAGCCCTCGCGCTGCTCACCTGGGGACAGGGCCGCCCATGTGCTGCGCGCCTGGGGCTGGCGCCGCCCATGCACCCAGGGGCTGGCACCACCTATGCGCTGCGTGCCAGGGGGTGGGCCGGCCCTCATCATTTGGTGGGCGCACAGAAATGGCCCGGTGGGTGCCATGGTGCCTGCGGGCGCCGCGTTGGGGACCACTGGGTTAGAGTTTTGATTTGTTGTGTGCTTGCCTTTTACAGAAAATACAATGGTCACATTGAAAATAAACTACAAACCATTCCTAAGGATATTGATCTTCATCTGGAAACAAAATCAGTTACTGAAGTGGATACTTTAGGTAAGGATACATTTTTTTAAATTGGTCGCATGTTGTCCCAAATATATTCTGTGATTAATATCTTTTCCACCACGTACATATTTTTGGATATACACTAGAATATTTCTATGGCTAATGAAAGTAAAAACAGAACTCATTATAAAGAAGGAAATTAACTGACCACTTGTTTGAGGTCTCAGACTCTGCATTAAAGAGAATGGGTGTGAGAATTCCAGCATAAAGGAAATATATTACTACAATGAACATCTCTAAGAGAACACTGGAAAGGATCAGTTCATACACGGTGTACTTTAAAATGTGACAAAATATGGTCGTAAGCTAGTGTGTGAAAATGAAATAATTGGTGGATGTGGAAAATAAACTTTTTTTTACAGATAAAACCACTAGACGTATATAGGGAGTGGTTGGGGAAATCTCAACATCTAAGACAGATATCTGAAATTCTAAAGTAAAATATTTAGAAATCACAAGGAGATGCTGGACAAACAAGCCAGATACAAATAACTTAAGCTCCTGTAATGGAGGTTGTATCCCTCAAGTATAGCTATTAATGGAATTATGTGGTACTTGGAAGCAGACACCATACAGAGCGTAACTTGGCCAATTATGATTAAAATGTTTAATTGCACAATGTTTGAAAAGTTTCTGAGCAAGGAAAGAATTTACAAATGTCAGTAAGTATGAAATAAGATGACTATTATTCTGAAGAGCTTTCCTGACAATAACGCAAAGTTCTGTCAGAAAAAGATGGTGATTAGAAGAACATCTGGAGATCTTAGACTGTCATTTTTAAAAAAGGATTAAATTATAATAGATTTTTTTATTCTGCTATAAGTGTTGCCCACACAGAATTGCACTCAATTACAAATAACATAGTTGTTTTGGTTACAGTTAACTTGTAGATAAGTGCTTTGCCTTAGTTTCTGAAATTGTAAGACATAAAGGGGCTAGGGGACGGTGGTTGTTCATTTTTTACATTTTAGAGTTAGGAGCTGAACTTTGATGCAAATGTTAAAGTTCAGTGGAGAGAAGTTCTCTTTGTGCAAACCACCTGATATTCAGGAGGCATGGCGTGACAGTGGTTTCTAGCCAAATAATTTCAGATTATTTTGCAAGCCGATAGAGGCCATAAAAATCTTGAATAAAAACCAATGTTTTTTTTTTTTTTTTTTTTTTTTTTTTTTTTTAATGTGGGGAAGCAGTTCCATACAATGTTAAGCATACGTTACAGGTTACATCGTTAAGCACTCAGATGACAAAATATCACATAGGTGGAACCCAAACTATTTGGTGCTTTGTCTTCAATTGCAGCTCAAATTACATTGGAAGTCACTTCATATTTTGGAATTGGGTGCAGGACTATCCCTTCAGAAAGCAATCCCAGCAGTGTATAAAACCTGAATACTAAATAATATTTCATAATAGTTTGCATTAGATTAGGACTCTGAATGGAATTCATGTGTTAGCTCTATGTTCTTTGTGTCACAATAACTGGGCCCAGAAATGACACAAACCTTAAAAAGTACAGAAGTGCAAAAGCACTATTTTGCCACTGTTGCTACTTGGATATATTGGATATGCCTGGACATCAAGAAGCAGCAGTTGTAAAGACCATAAGTATATTTTCTTAATCATAGGGTCCCTGTTTCATTTTGTTATTACTTGCCTTAAAAATTTTCACTTATGCTTTTCCTGAAAACTTATTTTTCAGCATTGCATTATTTTCCTGAATATCAGTGGTTGGTGGATTTCACAGTTGCAGCTACAGTGGTGTACTTGGTAACTGAAGTCTACTATAGTTTGATGAAACCCTCACAGGAAATGAATATCAGCATAGTCTGGTGTCTGCTTGTTTTGGCTTTTGCCATGTATCCTTTGCTGTGTTCCTAAATTTTTATTAATTTTCAAATGATAATTTATATCCGCCTGTACTTTACAAATAGCACAGTGGATTGTTTAGTGGAGAATTCATATTTTAAAAATAATCCTGGATGTCTGTGATACTTGGTGAGGTATGTTCAGTATTTAATATCAGATAGTGTTCACAAGTGTGTGCATTGTACTTCATTTTTTCTGTAAAAAGGAAATGTTAATACTGATTTGTAATCATGTAATATGAGCTTTCAGAATGTTTTATTTCTGACCTATCTTCTACTGAACTGTACAATAAGAAGAAAAGTTATTAAAAAGATTAAAAGGTTGCAGCATTTGTCCACTTCCTGACAACCTTTGTTTGATGTTGTCTGTCTTATCTGAATGGTACTGTACTACAGATATCAGTTACTACAAATTGTGTAAAACGAATCCATATTTTTGAATTTTTTTCACTATCAGTGAAAGCTCTTGCCTCAGAAATTTTAGTGTAAATATGAGCAGTAAACAATCTGACCAGCTGCCATATAGACAAGTGTACTAATTGTAGCTGGGGGCAGATTTGAAGGAGAATATAATGTCTGGAGTAGGAGACAGAGCCATTTGAAAGGTAACAGATTATGAAGTGAGAAGTGCTGTAGAAAGATGAGAGCTGAGAAGTAAATGGGGGTGGTATTGTAGAGAATCTCAAAAATGAAGAGTTGAATATAATCTGGAAGTATAGTGAAAACTATGCAGGGCTTTTAGGAGGCATATGTCATTAGAATTGCTAGAGAAGCAGCTAACTGGTTTGGTTGGAGCAGGTGGATGTAAGAAAGGAATGCATGAAGTAGGTGGCTGCAATAGTCAGAAATGCCCAGATTTCTACTTTCAGGGAATGGAGAGGAAACAGTGAAAGGTAAGCACCTCCTGAAGCCCTCACCTCCTCTTGAGTCGAAGCCCTGAGCCTCCTTCCATATTCAGATTCTTATTTCTGCTGGGGAAGGGGTTGCAATGTCCCAAGAAAGCCACAGCAATAGCCAGTGCACCTGTCCCAGGGGCTTCTTCAGGTGCTTAAGCGGCCCTGGGCAGCCAGCCATGCCAGCCACTACAGAAGTCACAGAGGTCCTGGAAAGTCACAGAATCCATGACTTCTGTGTCCTGTGTAACACATTCACAGCTTTAATTATGGGCTATACTGGATATGGTGGTTTTTTTTTTTTTTTTAAGTTTAGCTACACTTTTACCCTTTAGGTTTTTATATCACATAAACATATGATAGACCATAAAATCATAACTTACCACAATACACACAAATGAGCTATTGTTTTTATATATGAGAATTATGTGTAATAAATATTTTGATGGCAATAAGAAGTTTCTGCACATTCTAATGTAATATAGAAAACAGAATATGACTGCATTAAGTGAAGCTCTGTACTATTAAATGGAGCTCTGTACTATTGTATAGCCATTATAGTTGAGTAGAAGAATATACAGTACTCTACCTCTTCTCTTGATTTTAAATAAGATCTTCACATGTGCCTGGCTCTGCTTATCTTCAGAGTTGGATTTTAGAAAGTATCTGGAAAAGGCTTTTATTTGGACTTATGGATGGTAAAAAATGTAAAATTCCTGATTGCTGTGTAGAGGTCCTAAATTATGACTTGCTTACTTTTTTATGGTTGAGTATTGGCTATAAAGTTTTTAAAAAATCCACTCATGTTAAAGGAATAAGATGGGATAGGATAACAATGAAGAAGATATTCACTCAACATACGCAAAGCAATACTCTGCATTTAACAAACTGTGAGAAGATAAGTTGTTCATCTTTGGATAGCTGCACACATCAACAGTTGTGCATGGTTTTGTGTATTCATCAATTTATTTAGTATAGGTTTTATGAGTTTGTTGATTTCAGGTAGTATCTCACAACAGAATTTTTTTAATGTAGCTGAAAAAAGAGAGAAGTCATGAAGTAGGTTAAAGTAAAACTTCTAAAAGAAGCTAATCATGGGGAGGGGAAATAACATAAATACTGGAAATTATAAGAAAAGTGTTAAGGTTACTTGGGGTTTATTTTACCTCTGACATGCCATTGAACATGTATTCCATCACATGTTTATGTGTGCAAAGTATTATTATGCCAGTATGCCTGGCAGTTTACCCATCCATCTTGACATGTAAAAGCACCTTAAGAAATCTGCAGCAGCTTATAGACACATTTAAATATGACCCCTGCAATTTATGTAGCATGATGTATACCCAGTGCACCACGGTACTTAAAGGATTATTGTCTGTAGCTACAGGAATCCTGACCCCTGGATATAGTAGAGACAACTGGTTTGTAAGGCAGCAGCTCTCAAACTATTAGCAATTTCCTCTTTTTATCATTGGGAAAAAACACAACTTTTTTCCTGAGGATTTTGCTTTAAGTTGCTGATGTGTAATTAAATTACAGCCTTAGTTTCTGTTTACAGCATATGTGAGGTTTCCTTATATTTAAAAAATCTCCAAAAGTTAAGGAATTCCTATGATAGTCTGTACATTATTGATTTCCTGAGATGGAATAGATTTGCCTTTACAGCTGTGAAATATTAATGTGATGTTCAGTTGTTGGGTTTAGTGTGCAAGTGATGTTGATGGTCTGTGATATACAGGAAGTCAGATTAGATGATCTGATCATCTTGTCTGGCTTCAAACTCTGACTCTAAACCACAAAATACATTCCCATAAAGGACTTTCAAACTTAAATCCTTGAATAATACCTGTGTCAGTATTCTACCTCATTTAGCCTCTCGTTTTCTATCAGAGTTTTGATGTAAAAGTGTTCAGGCTTTGTAATACAAGCATGCAACCTTACATAAATTGAGAGAGAGAATTTGGCAATGTTGAGATTCACTGTGAATGGACTGAATAACTAAAATTAACCACCTGTTCTCACCCAACATATTCAGTTACAGCCTTTTATGCTATGTTATTAAATCATATTGGAATATATTTTAATGTGTACAACAGGTGTAGTTTAACTTCAGAAGCTCATTAGTCTCCCACCTCTCCCTCCATTCCCTCACATGGACATCGTTATGTGTAAATATCAATTACTGGCTAAGTAAAAAGATTTATTCACATAGATACATAGCTAAGATTTATCCAAAAAATACTTGTAGAGACAAATGTCCATTAAAATTTGACTTTAGATTTCTTTTTTTGTAGTTGATTTATATTTAGAAGTTAATTGTCAAAAGTAGCAATAGTAACTAAGAGCAATAACTGACCCTGCCCCAGAAAGAATTTAAAAAAACCTAAATTCCCGTAACCAAAAAAAATTAGAAGCTTGCACTGTAAGACAAAATGGATTAATACTTACAGCAGGAGGTCTGCATTGGCTGCTATTGTGGGTTAAGAGAATGGAGGAAAAAAACATTAGAGGAGGGAAAAATGATTGTTTGCATCAGTACTTTTCTGTATGTGCATTTATGAAAATCTATTAAGAGCCTCTTCTTAATTTGCAGAATGAGGCTAGTGAAATTTATAATGTAGAAAGAAAAAAAGCTCTAATTTTTACATGAAAACCCTGACTCTGTGGCCTTTCACATTAGACTAATGTTCCACAAATGAATTGAAGTTGTTAAATTCTGTAATTTTGAATAGCAAATATCAAAACCTTTATGGTGAGCCAGACATATTGTTTTGAATAAAATGTCACGTTGTTGATTAATTCTAAAGTCCAGTTTTGTCAAAATGAATAGTAATTTTTGTTTAAAAATATCCCACAAATATATTTACTGGGTGTAGTTTGCTGTCTTGTGGCAAGACGAAATAATGAATAAACCATACTGGGCACCTAAAACTGAATGTTGGAGCTTCATTTAATAACTGTATTGTTTTTGTACAAAGGAAACCAGCGGGTAAAACTAATTTCCTTAGACCTCTCTAAAATCTTTTATCCAATCTCAAATATGCAAAAAGATTTAAATCTGATTTAAGAGGGTTCCCTGGGCAATGGGAGTATTTCCCTAAGTGAAGTAGTGCTGTTAGTTCCTACACAGCACCACCATTGCTTCTTGCATCTGGCGGGTGCATGGCCAGACTGCAGCAGTGATCCCTGATTGCCAGCGGAGCCCATAGTGGGCGAGGGGGCGTCGATAGCAGTCAGAACATAGTACAGTGTCATTCCAGTTTACATGAAGGGCCAGTGCCAGCACAGAATGGCTCTATGACTAGTGAGCATTCTGTCAATTGCTCCAACTGCTCTGTCCCTCAAAATTCAGTTCTTAGGTTTTATAAGTGTGACCAAAAACAGATATTCTGAAGTGCATGAAATCAAGAGAAGGCAGCATGGCCAATAAGGGGTTAATTCCAGAACAGTTTCTTGTGTTCTGACGATAGATTCCCCCCCCCCCCCCCCATAGGCAAAGATGCCAACAGAATCCTATGGATATTAGAAACAATGACTGATCTGAAAGGTTTCCAGGTAACTTTACATGAGTTGTTTCATTGCAACAAGCAAATAGTAGCTTTTTATATATTGGTGGAATTTATATAATATATAGAGTTCTGAACAGATAACCATACTTTTGGTTTCTCTACAGAAACTTGGTCTTGAATGAACAATACATTTCAAGAGTTGAAAGTATAAAGACAGATATCCCCAGTAAATTATCACACAGGTGGCATCCAGGATTAAGAGTTTCGGTATAGGAATATCTTTTATTGCCTCTTAGTCAAACAGAAAAATGGAGCTTTTAATCTCAAGATTAACTGAGGAAGATTTGATGACAGCCTGTACCTTGGAGGCAGCAGTCAGAAGGCCTGCTGTACCACCTGGCCCATATCACACTAGCACTTACTATTTTTGAGAGAATGCAGGATTCATTGTAAGCAGTAACATTTGTATCTGTCAAATCTCTTTTGAGTAGCATGGTTTTGTTACTATATTGTTTCAAATTTTGGCATATGAACTGGCTATAGGTTAGAATAATGGGTCACTCTGTAGAGTGAATTTCATGATTTTTTTTTTAAAGTTTGCTGTTCATACTGCCTTAAAAAAATGAAAAAGCCAATGGTAGGCACATGGTAATGTAGATGTAGCAATTTATAGCCAAGATGCTTACAAATCCTGGAAACCTAAGACTAAATACCTAGCAGTGAGGAGTAGGAGTGGTT